CCGTGGCTACTGTCTCCGCCATGGCTGGGGAGCAGGCTGGGGCTCTGTCTCTGCCTTAGAGGGGGATTGTCCTTGGTGTGCTCTGTCTCAGCCTTTGGGGGAGGTCAGACTTGGGTGCGCTAATGCACTTTGGGGGGAGTCGTTCTGAGTTGGGTGCTCTGTTCCAGCCTGCGGTGCAGTAATTTTCCTTGATTTCTGGATCTCAGTGTTGGGGGAGGTCTATCTATCCTTTTAACTATCACCTTGGGACTCAAGGTGGGGACCAGACTGGCAGTGTATGAGAGAGAGTTGGTTGTGTTATATACTCACAAACGCTTGCCGTATACACAGTCTTCAGGCTCAGCCACACTGCTGGGCATGCAGGGACCTGTCTTTATGTCTAAATGTGCATTTTGTGTTGATTGTTGAGGTTTGTTGGCCATTCGTGTACGTGTTTTATTAAGTGCCTTTCCAAGCTTTTTACCCACATTTTATGAGATATTTGTGTTTTGTTAAACTGACTTGTAGTCCTACATATATTTATATTCCTGTATATATTTAGATATATAATTCTGAGTTCTTATGCAGATGCAGATCTGTTTTGCTTTGTCACTATCTCTCTCTCTCTTTTTATTTTTTTTTATTTCTCCGAAAGTCTCTTTATTTGCCATTGTCCTTGGGAGTTTTTTCTGTTTTTGATTTTGATTTTGGTTTTCTTTTTTTACAAATAGTTTATTGTCAAGTTGGTTTCCATATAACACCCAGTGCTCATCCCCACAAGTGCCCTCCTCTTTGTCACTATCTTAATAGTGTCTTTGTGATGAATAGATATTATGAGTTCAGTTAAGTTAATTGAACGGTCTATTCTTTTATGGTTAATGCTTTTATTTGTTCCAAACCTGTCCTACTCTAAAAGTCATGAAGGTCATATCCTAAGTTTTGCTCCAGTCTCCTTTTCATTTGAAATCAATGTAGTGCGGATGGCAATGGGGTCAGAGAGGAGGCACATTTCCCCTTAGGGACCAGGTGGACTCACTGAAGGGACCACAGTGGCTTGGGGACCTCAGTGTCAGCCAGCTAGCAGGTGCTATTTCCAGACTGATTTCTGGACTCTCTATCGTCCTGCACGGGAGGATCCGGCCTCCCTCGCTCCAGCCCACATGGTTGTCATTGCTCTTCCTTTGCAGTAAGTCCACTGGCTGGCGTCGCACGTCTTCCAACTTTGTTCTTTTTCTGAAAGCTCATCTCAGCTCTTCTACTGTTTTCTATCAGCTCGCAAATATCCCCCAAATGTAACAGGGTGGATTTTAAAATTCTATATTTTAAATAAAAAGTATTTCCATTTTAAATATGATTGCAATAGTTACTCCTAGCAGAAATGACCATAATGGCTTAAAAATGAGTTTTGTAATCCACACAAAAAATGCATTTCTCTCCGTCTCCTGAGCCCTTTAACATCTCTCAGCGAGGTGTTATGTGTTACGTGTAGTGCTTTGGCACACCTGTCGTTAGGTTTACTCCTGGGGTTTTGATGTTCTTGACACTGTTTGCAATGGTATTTTAAATTTCTTTTTCTAATTATTTTGGTTATTACAGAGAAATAGATATGGCTTTTGATTCTTCCTCTTGCGGCCCGTAAAATGGCTGTTGTTCACTTATAAACTCTAATGGTATCCTTTTGGATATTCTATCTACAGAAAAATGCCATCTGTGAATGACATTGTTACTTTTACCTTTCTAAAAATTATACTTATAATATTTTCTTGGCACTGGTGCACTTTTTATGACTTCCATATATTCTTAAATAGATAGTAGACATCCTTGTCTCATTTACAAACTTAGGTAGAAAATGTTTGGTATATCTCCATTAAGTATAATGTTTGCTATAGGATTTTTTGGGGTGGATGACTCCACATCTTCTCTTCCTTAACCTTGTCCTTGAGTTTTTGCCAAAATTATAACTCTGTGAAATACTAAATAAGTTAGTACAGGTAGAGCATTTAGCTGAGGACCTGGCTGGTATGAAATGCTGCATGAAAATAATTTCCCCCTTTTGTACTTCTCCTAAATGGGAACTGTCAATAATTCATAAAAGGTATTTATCCCCAGTTCATTCCAATATGATGGGGCAAATTTGGGGGTTACCTTTAAATGAGAAGACCTTTCAGCTAGTCTGTCATGCTGATACATGCCATTTGATGTAAGAGCAATCTTTAAAAGTGCCCATCACAGGGCTCTTAGATGGACATCTTTGAACACTGTGCCATTGGAAATATGTGGATTAAAGATTTGCACCTCCAGTCCCCCTCACCTTCTACAAAGGGCATTCTGTAAACACCCAGCCAATATTGATACTGTTGTATTTAAATAAATATGGAAAAGACACTGAATTCTTTCCCCTGAAAGGGTTGACACAGAATGTTATTTACTTTGTCAGGGAGGTAATCATGTGCTTACTTAATTCTGGCTGAGGGGTTCACATCCTGCAAGCAAGCTGATTCACTGTGTACAATGTTTGCCTTTGGACTACACTTATAGGATAGTTTCCTCCGTTTCCCCCCTAGACTACATGGGAAAGAGGCTGAGGCTCCTGAGAACAGAGTGTGTGTGGGGGCATGGTAAACCTTGGCTCCTAAGAAAACTCATATTAACGATGCAGAGGCATGTTGTATACACATATGTACAATGCAGCTCAGCATGTTTGCATTTTTTAAAAGTTTATTTATTTATTTTGAGAGAGAGAGAGACCAGCAGGGGACGGGAACAGAGAATGAGAGGGAGAATCCCAAGCAGTATCGATGCTCTCAGCACAGAGCCTGTCTCTGAGCTCTATCCCATGAACTGTGAGATCATGACCTGAGCTGAGATCGAGGGTCTGAGCCACCCAAGCGCCCTAGTATGGTTGCACTTTTGTAGTTAATGGACTATGTTTCTTGATGCTTTTTAGGAAATGATGACTGATAAAGCAGAGGGTTCTGCTGTTGAACCAGAGAACCAAATGAAACGTCATGGAGATCCGGGGACTCCTCCTCCGTGTAAGAGAAGACTGACCATGGAGATGCAGTCAGTGATGCTGGAAGGAGAGGAAGCATCCCAGCCCGGGTGCTCAGCCATGACCTTGGAAGGTGGTGAGGATGCCTGTCCCCCACCCCCCTACCTTTCCTGCCTCATTGCCGCCTGGCCCCTGGCTCCTCCCCTCCACTGGAGCAGTTCCCCTGAAGGGCACCAGCTTTGGGTGACGCTGCCCTTATTTTCTCGGCCACACTGGGTACAGGTGTTCACTCTCTCCTTCGTGGAAACCTTCCCGGATTCCCAAACTCCGCACTCTACTGGTTTCCTTCTCCTTACTGAATATTCCTTTGCTTTCATTCTTTGCTCTGCCTTCTGTGTCTCCTCTTAATACACTACTCCTTCCTGGGTCCCACCATCGGGATGTCCCTCATGCCGCACACCTCCTCACTCAGCAGGCCGCTCGCTGCACTAGCTTCTGAGCTCACAGCCTGCCCTCCCACGTGACGCTCCTGACCCATCACCGCCCCGCAGCCAGAGTGACCCTGTGCGCACGGAAATCCCTTCATGCGACGTCCACCCTGAAGCCCGCCATCCACTCCCCCGAGCGCTCAGAACAGAATCGGAGCTCCCGACGCTGGTCTACGCGCTCCGCAGGACCCGGTCCTGCCATCCTCTCCTGCGCGTGTCCTCTGGGAGGGGGGGTCCTCCTTGCTCTCTCTGCCTCTGTCCTTTCTCCATGGCCCCGGCTCGTCCCCTCCTAGGGGCCCTGCACTGGCCCTCACGGCAGCCGGAAGTCCTCCTCCTCACGTGCACGGGCCCCCTGTCTCCTGTGCCAGGGGTCACCTCCTCAGAGGGCCCTGCCTGACCACGGGGTCCTGGAGGCTCCCCCTCCTGCTGTCGGTCACATCCTTGATGTCTTCCTTCCTATCGTGAGTTCAAACTATATTATTCCCTTTGCTCATACCCTCTAACTTCCCCATGAGGATGTAAGTTGCATAAGGGTAGGGACCGCCCCTGTCTGTCTCATTCCCTGCCTATCTCCCAGCATTTGGCTCAGTACCTGGTACAGAGGAAGCTGAGTAAGTGAAAGAGAGGTGTCAACAAGGTATAAAAAATTCATTCATCTTCTGAGACAGAAAAGACAGATAAGGAAGATTATTTACTGACTGGGATTTTTAATGATAGAGTGCCAGTATCGGCATCCTGACATCCAGTGGCACGTTCAGGTTTTTACCTTGTAAAGGGCATCAAGGAGGCATTAAATCATGAACGCCAGTGCTCTGTGAATGTTTGTTTGTTTATTGGTTGTACTGTCCAACTGCATTTCTTTTTTTTTTTTAAATGTTTTGTTTATTTCTAGGAGAGAGAGAGAGACAGCGTGAGCAGGGGAGGGTCAGAGAGAGAGGGAGTCACAGACTGAAACAGGATCCAGGCTCTGAGCTGGCAGTCAGCACAGAGCCCGACGTGGGGTTCGAACCCACAAACCGTGAGATCATGACCCGAGTGAAAGTCGGACGCTTAAGCGACTAAGCCACCCGGGCGCCCCAGTCCAACTGCATTTCTATATGTTTGCATAGTGCCAAGAATATAAGGAGAGGCTTCTTTGTTCTTTTATTTTTCCTGAAGTCAAAATTTCAGGTCCGATACATGTATCCAGTATATCCTCCTGCTATGTCATAAAACCGTTAGAGACTGCGGAGCACGTGCATGTCCGTGCGGGGTTGTGGACCTGCCTGTCATCGCAGCCCCACATTACATTTGGTTTCCAGATGCACCTGTTGTTCAGGGTATCCACGGGGAGGTGAGGGAAAGTGGTCGATCCACACTGAGGGCTTCTGGTCAAAATCCGTCCCCCCAGAGCCTGTGACTGTGGCAGGAGATGGTACTCCACACCAACCAATTGGATTCTTTGTCTCATGACCTAACCAGTCTCAGCAAAGGTGGGCGGAGTCACAAACCTGGTAGGAATGCGTTGGTGGCAGGAGTCATTACCAGCTCTGTCTCTACAGATAACCCCAAGGCCACAGCGATGTCTGTGCTGGGAGAAGTGCCAGGTAACCTGGCACTACCAAGGCAAATCAGTTCGGAAATGAAAAGTCAGTTGAAGAAGGAAATTCAAAGATTTGGGCAACGTGAGTAGAATAAGGATTTTTATAAGTGAAACCACAGGAAATGTTTCTCATTCTATGAATTAAAGTTTTTTTTTTGAAGTTTATTTATTTTGAAAAAGAGGGGGGGCAGAGAGAGGGAGAGAGAGAATCACAAGCAGTCTGGGTCTCATGAACCGTGGGATATGACCTGAGCTGAAATCAAGAGTTGGATGCTTAACCGATGGAGCCACCCAGGCGCCCCTCTCATTCTGTGATTTAGACTGGATTCCACAGACCTCTTAAGGTTCATCCTTTGTTGGAATTGGGTTTTCACACAATATAAGACAGTTCCTCTTTACTGCGACTACAATGTTCCAGCTATTTGTTCTTTTTAAATCTCTTAATTGGTTATTGTTTGTAAGAGTTCTATTGGTAGATATGTTTGGGTGTCTGGATGTAAGAATATAAAACACAAATACTGTGTAACATTCTAGCCCTTGAATGATTGCTGAGGCAGCAGATACACCAAGATTGAGTTCTGACTCTTTTTTCTACTTTAGAAATACTGACAGTTTTTTTTTTTCTAAATATCTCCAGAATATGATAGAGTCTTCAAATTGCTTGAAGGAGGGCAAGGACCTATGGAATTGCGGGAAAAGTTTTGTTGTGGTTTCCATGAAGGAGACAAGTAGGTGGGTATTAAGAGAAACTGCAGTATGTTTCAAAGCAGGGCCTAGTGAGGTGCTGGGTGACAGGTGGGGACGGGACTGCCTGGCTTTCTCAAACCCTGGCCCTCATTCAGAGTTCATGCTGTCTCTGCAGTTATTTAGATTGATATCATCTGATCTCACTCATTCTTCCAAGCTCAGTGACACTTCTATTCACCCCAGAGTTTCAGGTGGGCATGGACCATGAGCGGACACTCTTTGTATTTCCCAGATTGTCCCTTACCATGAGAGTCCATTTTCTTTTGTCGTTTTTTTCAGTTTTTTAAAATGATTTTTATTTATTTCTGAGAGAGAGAGAAAGAGGCAGCATGAGGTGGGGAGGGTCAGAGAGAGAGGGGGAGACACAGAATCCAAAGTAGGTTCCAAGCTCTGAGCTAAGCTGTCAGCACAGAGCCCAACGTGGGGCTCGAACCCACGAATTGTGAGATCATGACCTGAGCCGAAGTCAGACGCTTAACCGACTGAGCCACCTAGGCTCTCCAATGAGGGTCCATTTTCTATCCCTTGGTAGATTGGAAGCTTCTCTTTCTATCTGCCACAGAGCCTCCCTAATTATAGGTTCTTGGGTATCTTTTGGTTAATGATTTGTCTCTTTATTTTCAGATTTAAAAGATAAGCCTTAATAAGCCACCTTGAGACGGTACTAGAAATATTGGAATTGGACCAAATTCTCAACGAAGATAATCCACCCCAAATTTATAATCCTATTAGGGAAATGATCAATAACAAACCAGAACAAGTTGGCTGTCCTAGAATGGAACCTGATATTGTTGATGCCTCCAGCACGTGTTAGTTAAGAAAATTGTCTTCTTGAGGCAAAAAAAAAGTGTTAGAACTTAAATGTTATAAGTTTCTGTTATTAAAAGTTGGGCATTTGCCCTAAGTATTTTGTTTGAATAGACAATTTATTGTGTGTGTGTGTGTGTGTGTGTGTGTGTGTGTGTGTTCATCTTCCCCCTGAAGTGGGAGACCCTGTTAAGTCATCAGGTTACATTCCATATTAGTTCCTGAGCGGGTCCCAGGCTTTTACTGGCATTCATAACTGTCTTCTCCACCAGCTATTTCTTCTTTGTTTTGCCTGAAACGGTCCCTCAGCCTGAGGAGTCATTGGGCTTGGCCTGAGGGAAGGATTCATACCTTAATTACAGACGGACTTGATCAGTAAATGTCCTCCCTCAACTGAGTTGTTATAATTTCCTTTGACTTGAATCACAGACTTGAAATCACTGGGAGAAACCTAAACTTGGTGGACATATTTCTCCTCAGTGTCTCGTGTAGCTGCAAGCCAGTGTCCTTAACACTCGGGTCCCCTCTCCCTTCACTGTGCAGGCGCCCCATGTTTGCCTGATGGTTGAGAAAGACGAGTATCCAGACTGCTGGGCAGTGTCTATTTCCATTTCAGTGGGGTCATTGTTGGGGCGCTTGTGGAAAACATTCCTCCTTTGCAAAAAGCCCTCCAGCATGGGGAAGCCAAAAGCTCTGGGGACAGGTAGCAAAATTTAACTACTGAATACAAAGGAGCAATAGTGAGAAGAGCCCCTCACATCGCCATCCCTTCAGTAATGAAGATGTGAATCGCAGCTATGGGAGAGACAGCTCTCTCTCTTGGCAAATGAGGGAGAGCATGACACCCTCTAAATTCTATTGTCCCAGCCCCTCAAGGTACTGTTTCCAACTTAGAACCAAAATCGTCGCTTTAAAATATCATTCTATGATTTTTCTTTTTGAAACTGCCCCTTCAGGATGATCAGGCAGACCATAAACCTAGTGAATTCCATGAGCATGTGCCCTGAGAAACAATATACTTGTCAAGTGATGCTGTGTGGAAATCCATGACAGCAGATAAGGCATTTTCTAAATCCATGAATGTCGGTTTTCTCAAAAATCTATCGGTGAGAAGGAAGATCCTTATGTAGAACAAAGGTGAATTCATGTACAAAGGGCTACATTTCCCTGAGGAAAGAGACCAAAATAATCAACCTGCCACCTGGTAGCTGATTGACCACTTGGGGGAATGACGCCATATCGGGTGCTCGGTGTTGGTCTGTGTGCGTGATGCAAGGAGCAGTCAGCAGCATCTGTACCACGACCAGCCTTGGTGAGTGGGTGTTCATGTTCATGGGCCATGCGTGACATTCATCCCTGCCTCCATGACCGTGATGCACCATTACTACTTGGAGGAAGGTGGGGTGCCCCTAAGGAGCTATGGGGGTGGTCCTGGATGCTCAGAGTGGCCTCAACTGAGAGACCGAAAGGAAATGGGGGCCTCATTCCTACAAACTGAAGAAACTAGACTTGACAAAAACCTGAAAGGGCGTGGCAGCAGTTTTTCTCTCTTGAGTTTCCAGTTAATGACCCATCATGGTCAACAACTTGACCTCAATTCCTTGAGACCCTGAGCACAGAAATTTATAGTACCTGCGTGGAATTCTGAATGATGAAATTGCTTGAGAAGAATTTGTGTCATTTCACACTGCTAAATATCAGCTAATTTACTATGCAGCTTTAGAAAACTGATATGGGCAAAATGCCTATATATAGGGAAGTAACAAATGAAAATCAGGCATGATGTGTTTCTTTTCCATTCAAGAGATCACAGAGACCTCCCATGAGGCCATAGTGGAGGGTCAGAAAACTTTTCTCTTCTAGGCCCTGCTCCAAGCTAGCCGATTTTCAGGTCACATGTCAGTGGGTCATAGTATCACAAAACCACAAGACCACAAACCATGTTATCACCAGCCCCTGAAGGACCAACTCTTTGCTATATGTCTCTTTTTGAATGTCAAGAAAGTTGAGATTTACCAATTTGCTCTTCACCATACATGTGACATGTGCCAGACTACTAACTACATGACTAAACATTTCACTAAGTTGTAAGGCCTCTGATTTAAGGGCAGTGACCAATGTTAGGGACAGGTGATGAAGGCCAGTAAGGAGTATTTCATGGTAGAATCTCAGAGACTTGACATAAGCCTGAGGTATGAAGTGAGGGTACCCTTTCCAGTTGAAGGCAAACTCTTCCTGGCTAAGTTTCCTTTTTTTATGTTTTTATTTATTTCTGAAAGAGAGAGAGAGGGAGAGAGAGAGCATGAATAGGGGAGGGTCAGAGAGAGGAGACACAGAATCTGAAACAGACTCCAGGCTCTGAGCTAGCTGTCAGCACAGAGCCCGACGCGGGGCTCGAACCCACAAACCGTGACATCATGACCTGAGCCGAAGTCGGACGCTTAACTGAATGAACCACCCATGGCTAGGTTTCCTAAAAGAGGGAAAATAATTTGCTCACTCAGGTATACATATAAGATGCTCAGGAATGAGGTGATCGCTAAAGCAATGGAGCCTCAAGGAAAAGACCAGGTGTAACTGAATAAACAGACAATTAGGTTAATGGTAAGTTGCCGTCATTCTCCAAGATCTCAAAGTTCTTCACAGGCCAAATAGGTAAGATGAAAGGGACACGGTCAGAATTACCACCATGCATCTTTCAAATTCTTGATGGTGCCACATATCACTACTGGGTGGGTTTGGGGAAAATCTGGCACTACTGAGAGACAGTAGTGAGGTAAAATTCCATCAGTGACCTGACCTCCATTGTCCCTCACTGTGGCTGGTGGGCCACAGGGATGCTTTGGGTCTCCTGGAATTAGTGTCATTGAGATCCAGTTTTGAGTTTTCTTCAAGAATCTGATTACTTCCCTCCCCCCATGCACTGTCATGCTGGTACCCGACCCCAGGTCCACTGGCCACAGGAAAGGTGGGGATAACAATAAGAGCATAGATATCTGGCAGTGCAGCACGGTCCT